CAAGCCAACTCAAATAAATCACTTCATCAACGAATCTACCATTAATTTACCTTTGCGTCACTTTAATTCTGTGTCTCTGATGAAGTTATTAAAGCCCTAACAAAGCTTAAGCTCAATATGTCAATGGGTACTGACCTTATATTCTGTGTTGTTGTAATCGTCACTCCCTTTTAATAACTACAATATTTAATTAGTTCAAATATTCCAATATATTCTAATACTTTTTGAGCGCTCCTCGTATTTGGAAATATAGATATTATGTTGAAACGGGAATTTATCTCTGTCTAAGACATTCGATAGCTCAACCAATGATGCGCTCTCTCTAAAAATCAATAATTATTGTCAGATGTTGTGCACGCGCCTGGCTTACTTATTAGCCCAATCGGATTAGGTGAAGAACAGGCTTGAGATTCTGAAAAATTCGAAGCAGCAATTTTCCTTCGGAATTCGTTGGAGGGGGTCTGTGGTAGTCTAAATTCAAAAAGTTGGGATTCCAAAGTTGTCGTTACCTCCGCCAGCTTGATTTAAAGGGTTATTTTTTTGTATCTTGAATAACTCATTTATTTTCAATTTTACACGGAAAATAGTTTTTACAAAAGTTATTTAAAATTAAATTTCCTACAATTCTGCTTTTTTTTTGTACGATCGATTTTTTTCGATTTATACCCGAAGAGAGGGGGTGAATTTTTGGTTATAGAATAACTCGTTTATTTTCAATTTTACGAGAAAAATTGTTACAAACAACGTTGTTTAAAATTAAATTTCCTACAATTCTGTTTTTTTTGTACGCTCGATTTTTTTGTATTTATCCCTGAGAAGAGTGGGGGTAAACTCTTATCATTGTATTATCACGTTTCTTTTTAATTCCAGGTATACAGACGTCATTGACGTTTCGATAGACTTTTAAAAGTGTACTGAAAAGAAAATAAATTTCATTTTTTTAATTGTAAAAATTATACTGTTCGATAAACTGATTATTTACACCCCTCTTTTCCTTTACCGTGAACGTGCGACCCAACAATATAAACTTTAGAAAAAATCGGAATCATAATTGTACCAAATAACATTTTTGAAAATCAGCAAAAAAAAAACAAACAGAAAAAATAATGGTACAACATCAATAATAAACGTGACAATACAATACTTAGGTTCACCCCCACTCTTCTCAGGGATAAATACAAAAAAATCGATCGTACAAAAAAAAACAGAATTGTAGGAAATTTAATTTTAAACAACTTTGTTTATAACAATTTTTCTCGTAAAATTGAAAATAAACGAGTTATTCTATAACCAAAAATTCACCCCCTCTTTTCGGGTATAAATCGAAAAAAATCGATCGTACAAAAAAAAGCAGAATTGTAGGAAATTTAATTTTAAATAACTTTTGTAAAAACTATTTTCCGTGTAAAATTGAAAATAAATGAGTTATTCAAGATACAAAAAATAACCCTTTAAATCAAGATGGCGGAGGTAACGGCAACTTTGGAATCCCAACTTTTTGAATTTAGACTACCAGAGACCCCCTCCAACGAATTCCGAAGGAAAATTGCTGCTTCGAATTTTTCAGAATCTAAAATACTAATCCGATTGGGCTATATGGATTTGAAATACCGTTTCATATTCGATCGGCTCCTATTCTTTTTCAATCTAGCAGCGAAATTAACTGGTTGATTTTAGTGCTTTGTGTCCGAATAAACTAAGGTAATCTCGAATTTTTTTTTATAATGAAAAGTAGAAATTCATTTTATTGTGTGCATATTCTGCTGAAATTATCTTTGAGTTATCTCTTTTATTAATAGTGAGCTTTTCGCGTAATATAAATTCCAAAATGTACAAAATGGCTGCCATTAATTTTATATTTTTTCTTCTCAGTTATTTAAAAAAAATCTTTCCATTCTTCATGTATTTTAAATTAAATACTATTGCAAATCTCTAATATTGTTGTAAATTTGAAATGTTTAATTTAAATTGTAAGTTTTTTTGGCTGACCACATGTGTTGTTTTTTTTTTTTTTTTGAAGCAATGGAAAGATACGGTTTTTTGTTGTAACTGACACGTTTTTTCTTTCTTAAAAATAAGGAACTGGATCTGGAACAAAATAAGGAGCTGGATCTGTGACAAGCTAAGGAGTTGGCCTTTGTAATCTGGAACTGCAGAATCATTGTCAGCTAGTTGCCACTAGAGCTGCGGAATATCTTGGACTGAGTTGCGTAAGGAACTGCAGTGTTTTGAAGTCATCGTAGGCTCACCTACCATTAAGAAAAGGAACTGCAGTGTTTTGAAGTCATCGTAGGCTCACCGCTCACCTACCATTAAGACACGGACCAGACCAGTTCGACCGTTGAAATCCGGAAACACAAGATAAGTGTCGGCCAGGACCACACACACAATTTTTGAGTCACTAGTCAATTTTAATTTTAAACTCATCATTAGTCAAACGTAAACCGTAAAATGTGTTAAAATCAATTAATTTTATTTTCTTTTATATGTAATATCAGTCATCAGTCAAGTTCGAAATTAAAGCCGATTAATTGTTTTGAAATTTAAGTTCTTTTTTTTTCTTACTTTCAACTCACAAGTTAATGACAAAAATTTACTTTTATTATACATCTAAAGGTATGGCGCCCAAATTAATTTAATTGAATTCTTTTAAGTCTTTTTAATTAAAGGCCTTGTCATGGACTTGAAGGTAAATTCTAAACGAATCCCACTGACCTATTTTGATCTGAGCTAGGCCTGAGGCTTGTAAGAATTCTTATTATAAGGATTTTTACAATGAGACCCAGGTGAGGGTTAGAAACGTATCATCTGGTGCAAAATATGTTTTTATAAAACGTTTATTAGTAAAACGTAACACTTCGTTTCTTGTAAGAGACTGTGCATTAATTTTGGCCACTCCGTTGAAACATATTTTTGATTTAATTTTGAAAACATGTATTTTCCCTACTGCATAGAAAATTTCCAGAATTACTCCGGTACATAAAAAAGGTAGCAAAAATGATGTTTGTAATTATCGGCCCATAAGCATTCTTTGCAATTTTGCTAAAGTATTCGAAATAATTACCCACGATCGTATATCCAATCATGTTTCCCGTCTTATATCTTGTGACCAACATGGATTCATGAAAAATAGATCCACAGTTACAAACCTTGTATGTTCGACGCAATTCATTTCGGAAGCCTTTGATAGAAGAAGTCAAGTTGATGTAATATACACAGATTTCTCCAAGGCCTTCGACAAAATTGATCATTCCTTTTTCTCCACAAGTTAAGTTCCATTGGTTTATGCGATTAAATCATTCAATTGATTGGTTCGTATTTGTTGGGTAGGCATCAATATATTCAATGTCGTGGTTACAGGTCAAAAAATTTCGAACAAACATCAGGAGTTCCGCAGGGACCAATTTTAGGTCCTCTTTTATTTATAATTTTCATTAGTCGCTAATATCAAGCATTTTAAAATTTTAATCTATGCCGACGACATAAAATTATTGCTTGAATTTTTCTGTTAACCATTGCTTGCGACTTCAAAAGTGTTTGTCCGACATTGCGACGTGGTGTCTCGATAATTCACTCCCTCTAAATCCTGAGAAATGTTCCGTAATGTCTACTAAAAAAGTAACACCTAAAATTTTTGATTATAAACTACAGAATATTGTTCTAAATCGACCTGAATTTTCTGAGTTTATTTTGATCCTGAACTAACTTACTAACAGTATAGAGTATCGACTATGTGGACTATCCATTCAAAATTACAAAATATGTTGAGGATAAACAAAGGGGTCGATATAAAATCGTTCGTCAAAGTGCATGCATTCATGAAGGCACTAAGCAAAAATGAGGTAGTCAAGAAGGCAAATGTATTCGAGGAAGACGATTTGCGGAAGTTTTTTACAGATGCACCGGACATTACGTATTTATTTTGAATAAATTTTTTGAAAATTTTCTCAGAAATATTTTTTGGCATTACAAGGCACTCCTGTCAGATCAATATTTAAAAAGTTGGCATTTAGACATCACGTTTCTCGGGTTGTTGATGTTGCCGTGGTGACTTTAAAACACGCGCGTTTTTTAAAGTTCGTTTTAAACACGCTGAGGCGTACTTTAAATAAGTAAAATAGGGTACCAATAAAAAAAAATGTTTTTCTTTAACAATGTAAAAAAAAATGATGTACCTAAAGCATGTAATGCAATGTAGACAACCATTTTTTTATCCTGTGTTCGGTCAGTTTTTTTCTGGATGTTTCCATTGCATTGTATAGCTTTTTAACAATTTTGTATTTTTATTCTAATGTTTTGTCTTTCCCACCCAGTAAATGGTGATTACTGTTGGGTGGTGTAACAAATAAATAAATAAATATTCATATTCATATTCTCCATGTTTTAAAACCCAATTCGAATCCTCAAATCTTTAGTTTTTAAAACCTTACAAGTATTCTGGTTAATATTGAGGTGAAATGACAGAATCTCAACGAAAAGTACTCCTAGGTATCTCATCGATCCTATCAAGGACCGTACCAAAAATTAAACATACAAAAATTATTTTGTTGTGCACCCTGCCAAATTAACATACAGTTTTTCGCAGACCAGTCGCGGAGAGGTTAGATATAAATTGGTGAAGAAGGCAATTATTCACATTACGACGGAGCAAATTATAGTTTTAGGTCATCGGCTAAAAGTATAAACATTAAATATTTAAAAGTGTCATTCATGAATAATAGAAACAACAAGGGCTTTATGTGAGAGCCCTGTGGGACACTGAAGACAGCAAAATTAGGCCAATTTTCACTAATAGCAAATATATAGATTTATATTAATAACTTGAGTGCGAAACAAAAAAGGTCGTTGATTGAAGCAGAAATTGATTGACTTTTGTTAGAATCTGATGATAAATCTCACATTCAAGTATGCACTAAACGGTAGATGCACAAAAAGTCCTAATTGGGGGTCCACTCGTCTAAAAAAATCCTGTTGCTAAAGGGTTAATTTAATGTTCTTACCTTCTGCAAACACTACAAGTCCAATCCTCTGGATCTTCATGTTCCGCCAGCTTGCTGTAACTGGCACAATCTTCGCAGACACGTTGATGACATTCTGCGCACGTCCGACTGAAGTCGTCCTGTTTAAAGGATTTTAGGCACACTCGACAGGCTCCTGCTCTACTAGGAGGCTTCCCGGGCTCAGTTTTGACGACGGGAGCAGCTGTTGGAGGTGGAGCCGATTCCAGTTGAGGCTTCTCCTCGCTTGGAGGGGTTACTTCCTGTAAATCGGGAATGAGGGAGGGACGAGGCGTCATTTTGTGAACTAGAAAAGAAAAGTTAATAATGAAATATTTAATAGCTAAACTGTTATGATTATTGTTTAAGATACGGTAGAATTACATAAAAATGCTAACTGTAGCATAAGGGATTATTATTATTACAGTTTGGACTGCAATAATTTATAAAATTTGAACCGAAAATTGACTTTAAAATAAGATGATATTTTTCACTTATTTTGGAATTTTAGAACAAGCCAAATTTATAATTTTTTTACCTAAAATAAACAAAATTTTCGTTATAGGAGAACACACTCCATAATATTGTAGTTTTTAATAAAGAAAAGATTGATGTATGAAGCCGATGTCTTTATCTTCCAATATGAGATTATTTTAAAAACGATACAATATGGTGAAATGATAGCGATAGATTCATTATTGAGTAAATGGGTTCCCACGTGAAAGACAATCCTGAAAGCTGTCGATTTTTATATTTAAACGCTCGTTCCTTGAGATATTTTATTCATAAAATTAGAAAATAAGATGCTGCTTTTATAGAACCATCAACTAACTTAATATTATATGAGGAGCTTACGTGCAAAACCGGCTGTAGCCATTATTTATTTATTTTTGTTTTTTTTATCGATTTTGTTTAATATTTAGCTTAATTTCTCTCGATTAGTAAAGTAATTGTGGGATAAAATCAGTTATAATAATGTTATAATTACTTTTGAAAAGTATATGTTTTGGAGCAAAACGGGCCAAATCCAAGTCTCACTTAATAAAGTGACTAATGCTCTTCATATCGTATTAATACGCAAGATATATGTAAAGTATGCAATTAAAACCTGAAATACTTTATCTTATTTTATTTGACTGTCCTATATACGATTAAACCCAACAATATCGAAATACTCAATACTGCAGACTCTCTCATAAAAATGTTCTCAATAACATTACCCCCTCTCTTGCACAAAACAGTAAGCATACATTTATGGAAAATCCGAATACTAAGATTATTCATACTAAATGAATATTACCAAACTGTATTTATATTATACTATAGTTATTTACATTTTATTAGAAAAGATATTGATTGGGTACAAATGTTTTAGAATTAATAAAAAGTTTGTTGTAATGTATAATGGGAAAGGATATGAAAAAATGTTTCGAATAAAAAGAGTGGAAATTATTTATCTTTAATTCACATTCTACAGGTTGTCCATAAAAGCTCTTCAAAGAATAAAACCTCGAAATCTAGAGCTGATTTTATGACGATTTAGCCTAAATTATCTTAATTCAAAAATGCTTCCTAAGGGAGCTAGAGCTCTTTGAAGATAGCGCTCTAAAATCGGTTTAATTGAAATACCTTCAAAACAGATTTTTATTAAATGATATTATTCTGTACATTTCTTTATTTATTTGAATCTAACCAATCAAATTTCGAAAAGAAGACTTTTTTAATGTAGTCATAAGCGGCTCGTTTGGGTGGGGTATTGGATATTTTTATTTATTTTTTATTTAAACTCGCCATTTTGAAATCATAATTAAAAAGTTTTGTTATTTTCACAAAAAAATGTTGCTCTTGTCTGAAGTCTCGATGATTATCCGTTTTTGAGAAAAATCGATTTAAACTTTTCATGTTTCCATTGACTGACAAATTTCTAAATTAATTATGATAAGATGGCTGTGGAAAATAAATAATGAAATAACAATTACATAAATGTCAAATGACTGGTGTTTCATACCGTAAGTAAGTTTTGTGATACTTATTTTTTAGAATTATCTTAATTTCTAAAACATTAAAAGTTAAAAATGGTTCGGTTTAGTAATGAAGAATATGCTGAAATGCATTTAGCGTATGGTGAAATGCAATGTAACGCGCTGGCAGCGTCACGTAGGTATGCCGAGAAATTTATAAATAGGAGACATTCTGCTTCAAAAACATTCACAGTTCTTCATCAAAGACTTAGGGAAACAGGATCTGTAATTGCGAGTAACAACGAAACTGGTAGACATGCTGACGTATTCCAGGAATATGAGAACGATATTTTAATGGAAATCGAGGAAACCCTGAAACTAGCATAAGAAGATTAGCTGCAATGTATCCTAATATTTCTAAATCATCTGTGTGGAACATTCTCCATCGGGAAAACTTGTACCCATTTCATTTTAGAAAAGTTCAGGCTCTTAATAATGGTGATTTTCCTGCCCGTGTGGCCTTTTCTATTTGGTTACAAATGCAAGAAAATCAAAATCATCAATTTTTTTTAAACTTTTTGTTTTCTGATGAAGCTATTTTCACAAGAGATGGAATTTTTAATATACATAATGTACATTACTACTCTTGTTGGTAATAATCCTCATGTTATAAAAGAAAATAAACATCAGGAAAGATTTAGCATCAATGTATGGATAGGTGTCCTTAGTGACAATCTACTTGCGATTTTTGTGTATGGGGATATCTCAAATCAATGGTTTATTCGCAACCAATTAAATCACGATATCATCTTTGGAGACGAATTTAGAATGCTTGCAACGAATTTAGAAATAATATGGGAATTTTTGCAAGAAATTTGTGCATAGAAACGGATGGCCGTCATGTGGAGCATCTGCTTTAGATTTAATTTTGTGTTTATTACTTTCAGTTATCATTTCCATAATATTTTTTTTAAATAAATTGTATCAACAGAAACTTTAATTTTTACATGCATTTATTTTTTTACTTCAGAAAGGCACAGTCATTAATTGAAAACATTTTTTTGAGTACCTACCTAAGGTTTGGGTAAAAACAGTTTAATATGTATGTAAAACAAGCATTAAGTTGCTTAAGCTGGTGTCCGCCCTTTTTTGGTGTTAAACTAATACAATTGTTATTATTTTATTTGTATACCTATATCAATAAATTTATTTATTATTATTTATTTATACATTATTAGGTATTTTGTTTATTTTCCATGGCCACCTTTTCATTTTGAAATTTATTTGTCAATTAATGAAAACGTATGTAAGGACATGAAAAGTTTAAGTCGATTTTTCTCGAAAACGGTTGGTCATGGAGACTTCAGATAAGAGCACCATTTTTGTGTGAAAATTACGAAATTATTTAATTTCATTTCAAAATGGCGACTTTTCGAAAGACAAAAAATATTGAATTAAAATATCCAATACCCCACCCAAACGAGCCGCTTATGACTACATTAAACAAATCTTATTTACGAAATTTGATTGGTTAGATTCAAATAAATAAATGTACAGAAAAATATCATTTAATAAAAATCTGTTTTGAAGGTATTTCAATTAAACCAATTTTATAGCGCTATCTCCAAAGAGCTCTAGCTCCCTTAGGAAGCATTCTTGGATAAAAGTAAGTTAGGCTATATCTTCATAAAATCAGCTCTAGATTTCGTGGTTTTATTATTTGAAGAGCGTTTCTGGACATCCTGTATATCGATAGCTCAGACTCTTCTTATAAAACTTTGTCTAAAGTTGGTAAAATATCTACCTTTAATTTTATAAATCGTGGGATTACTTTAATTTAAAACGCTAATAGAACATTTTTATTTTTTTGTTTTCCTGTATTTATCTCCTACTTTCTTTAGGAAGGTCCTTTACATGACCTGTTTTTTCTCAATTTTCTTTTTTAAGAAAGTTGTTCTTGGTTTGGAAATTTAAAATACAAACAACTTTCTGATTCCTGGTTCTGTCTCCACAGCCAACCAAAACAATCATTTTTAGAATTTCTATATATTTTTCTGTTTCAGTAAGCTTCATGTTAATAATATTACAGTCTTAAAAAAGTAAATGATATTTTACATAAAAAGCAAAAGCAAGTAAAAAAACAAGTAACAAACTACATGACGGCACACAGTGAGGTATTCACCTTGAAATCCTAGCCAAAATTATGTATTGCTTTTATTGTTTAAATACTTAAAAATATTTATTACAGATATAAGCCTAAATAAACAGTTTTTAAAACTATTAAGAAAAGAGAGGTGAATATGGAGGAGATTTTTTGGCAGAAATGATATATTTAATACTTAAATGGCGTAATGACTCAAGAATCAACTTTAATGGTGACCAAAGAATAAAAAACATTAAAAAAAATCCTTGGTAAATAGCATTTTTCAAAAAAAAAATATTCTTCATTAAATATTTGTTAGACCATTATACAAATATACACTCCCCAGCACAAAATTCCATCACTCTAAAATTTTGACCAAGTTTGACGTTATGTTTTATCATATTATATGAATTTTCTACCAGTTTGTAGATAACGGATTATATGTTATAGCCTACCGTAAATCTTCACCATATTTTAATATTTTAAAGTTGTTGTGACTTAAGTAAAAATTGTAAAATTAAGAAGGATCGTATGTGTGTGATGCATGGCTTCGTGGATTATTTATTTTATTTTACGTCTCATTCACATTTTTTGAGTTGGAATTATTATCTCGTTTTTTAAGAATAATTGTTTTTTGACACCTCTCAAATAAAGAAGTTAATACTTCGTATATTAATAAATACATTGGGTATTTTAAAGTATTAAATCAAACCAGAACATAATCAAAAACTATTTAATACTTTTCCAGTTATAAGCAACCCAGGCAGCACACTTTGGTATAAATTACGTTTTTTTTAGGTACTACCATACGTATGAATACGGTTGATGTACTACCAAATATATTCGTGAAAATGTCCGCCTTATAAACGTCGATTACTAAGAATTTATCCACCTATAATTATACGTTTTTACTATACGTATATATTAGATTTATAGTTGTAGTATATTTATACGAATCCACTTTGGTATAAAAGACGTTTTTTTTATGTACTACAATATACGTATGGATACCGTTGATATGCTACCCAATATATACGTGAAAATGTCCGCCCTATAAACGTTTTTTTATTTTTTATACGTCTAACATTACAACTTTATCTACCTTTTATTATCCTGTTTTACTATACGTTTATATTAGATTTATCTTATTTTATTAATGTGTAAAATAAGTCTACCTAATATTATTTTAAATATATTTCAAACACAAATTAAATAAAGTGATCAAAACAAAATTTCTAAAAGAGGCCATGGAAAAATGTTAATATTTCTTAAATTGACAGTTTGAATTTTATCCATAGCAGGTGTGTATACACTAGAAATAGGTATTACTCGTGTTTTTATTTTGATTGTAATTGGTCTAAATATTTAGGAATTTTTTTTGATCACTTGTTCTTGTTATATGTACAGAACAATATTTTATTAAAAAAAAAAAAAAAAAAAAAAAAATACTAAAAAATAAATAAATACTAAAAAATAAATAAATACTAAAAAATAAATACTAAAAAATAAACACTAAAATACTGAATAACAAACTAAACGAAACTTTTCTTTAACTAACAAAAATATATATGAAAATTAAAATCTTAGCTTAACACTTTGGATGTGTTGTGTCCTAGACAAGCCTTAGCTAACTTAAGCCAATCTTGCATAGCACTTCTAATCGTTCGGTCGGTTAAGTCTCTTGGTTCACCCCCATTCCTATAACCAAAATGTAAATGCATTTCAGGTGAAATATTTTCTAAAAGCTCCAAAGTTAAATTTGTATTATTTTCTAAGAAATTATTATAAATAATAGAATCAGATGATATATTAATGTCCGAAGCCTTATTAATGTTATCATCACTGGGAATAAAAAAAAATTTGACTTTAAAGCATCTTGAACATTTTGTGCTATTTTTCTTAGTAGATGACGCCGAGACAGGGTTATTTTAGACATTTCATTAAATAAAAAACAACTGACCAAAACAAAGGAAAATAAGTATGTTTGGAATAACTAGGTAGCCTAAAAAATACGTATAGAAATACGTATAAAAATAAGAGAAACAAAAGTAAGAGTATGTTTTGGAGATTCTATAAGCATTTTACACACTGTAATAAAACAGTAGTTGTTGTAAAATGCAACAATTATTAAACGAGTAGCTAAATTAAAACATTAATAGAAACTTACCTATGCTTGTAATCAATATTGTAAAAGCCAGGACGCCAAAGCAATATGTAATTCAACTGGGCACAACAACAACACCAACAATTTTACAAGAACTTTTTATTACATAAAAAACAATTATCGTGGTTAGCAACTAGTTAACAGAAATATAACTTATAATAGCGTGAATCGTTTGATTGATAGCGAGCCCTTCACAGCCACCAGCCACCATCAGTCAGCTGATTCCCGATTGTCTGCCGGTACCTTACTCCCCTCTCGATTCTCTGCACTACGCGCACTTTGGACCAGCCCGACTTAGCTTAAAGCACACCCCGAATCTCACTCATTGAAACGACATGGACTAGTCCACCCCACCATAGTTATTGGCGGGTTATTTAAATGTTCGGGTGTTTGAAATAGGTACAATGGGGAATTTGTTATAAATATTACAGGTAATATATTAATTATAATTATATAATAATTATAATTAAAATATGGTGTAATGTAAATAAATATATCTATAAGCTTTTAATTTAAATAAACCTAAATATATACATATTATTTACTTCTGTCTACTAGTTCATTGTAAACTGGTAATATGCGTTTAAGGTGACTTATATTTAAACGTAGAATAATATAGGTATATTAACTAGTATCCACAAACAAAAGCGTTTAATTTATCTGTTAAAAAACGTTATGTATAAAAATGATAGATGGTAAACGTTTAAATAAATTAACCAAGACGAACTTTAAACGGGAGTTATAAACGAAGAACACATAATGTAATATTATGTAAATTTATACGAATTTAAATTTAAATAAACCTAAACGTATATAAATAGTTCATCGGAAAATAAAAGTAGTCGTATATTGTTAACTACATTTAAACGTACAAAAATTTACAATTATATACCATAGGATGTATACAAAAAACGTATAATATATCTTTTAAAATACGGCATGAATAATAATCGTAAACTGTAAACGTATACGCAATAAACCAATACCAAAATTAAACGAGTATTACGTATAAAATACGTTAGTTATACTAATGTGTGCTGCCTGGGATAATTTTCTTTGGTGCTATGGTGGACTTACGTATTTTGAATCGAAGTATCCCCTATCACAGACATACGATCCTCATAATATTAAACAATTCTCACTCAAGTGTCAGTATCTTTAAAATATCAAAATATGGTAAAAATTTACGGCAGGCCATAAGTCCATGTAATCCGTGTCTCGTCTTTTATTGTGATTTTCTTAAATTATTGTAATGATTACCAATTTTTATTTAGGCAATATTATACAGGGGTAAATCAAAATGTTCTTTTTGTCGCAACTTCAAAACACGTTGTAGTAAAATTGAGGCGGATAATTTTGTTTACATAGATACTGTTTGCTGTAATCTCAGATGTATTCCAAATATTTTGTTTTTTAATTCATCCCATGACACTTCATTTGAAAGCTAATTTTATTAGTAATCCAATGCACCACAGAACATTAACCTAGATATATCCATATTGCACTTGCAACAAAATAAATTTAGTAATAATGCATTCTTTTGTCCTTCTAAATTCAATTCTGATTTAGTTAACATAATATTACGTAGTGTATTAAATTACTAATAAAATTAGCTTTCAAATGAAGTGTCATACTTTACCATAGGCAATAATACTTGGTACTTTCCCTATTTAAATCGTATTGGTTAGATTGACGTAGGGGAGAGGAATGGCATATGACAGTTGAGGATAGATATTATCGGAAGGTTTCTTCCTTGAAATAAAAATCGAGCTGTTCCTGCTTTTCTTTCAAAAAAAATTCTACTACTGTACATATAAAAATCGATCCGTTTCAGAATGATCCGCCACAGTTATCGATTCAGAACATAATGATTTTATTCCTTTCGTTGACATCATACAGTATATAATTTTTATTTTTAATTAAATAAAAGACCGCCGGTTTCAATTAAAGGAATAAATGATTCAGGTCTTACAACTTGCCATTACCTTTATCTTGTGCGGTGAGCAGAGAGGACGAGATTGTTTGTTTTAATTTTCCAAAAGTGGTTCCTCCATCTCCTGGGTCGTTGGCAGTATTTCCAGCTCCGGGCTCAGTTGTTACGCCAATTTGGATCTGAAACAATATAGATCACATATTATACTTTAGAAATTTTAGTCCAATTAAATAACGAAAAAAAGCCCCTTCGAGCTTACATTAATTTAATTTGTAATTGGATGAAACAAAAAGGACCTTGTGTATTTTGATGTGATCTTTCCGAAAAAAAGATGTAGCAGTTTTTAAAATTTTTTTAAATTAGGAAAAACCGGGTTTTCCGGAATTTTCCATTGTAAAAATGCTAATTATTTGGGCAAGTATCATTCCGATAGTGAAAATAAATGCACCATTCAAAAGAGGAGGCAAAAATAGTTCGGAAATTCATTGCACAGGTAGTTTTAATGGCGAATTTCTCGCCGCCAGAAGTGCTTTTACCAAAAAGTCGTTTTTTCGTTTTTTTGATCAGAACCATGGACATGAAATTTGCGATGAATTTGTGGCGAAATTATAACTGTTAGACATATGTGCCCATGAGAGAAGTTGCGTATTTTTTTGTTGGCTCTCAAATAAAATAAGTACCGCGGCGAAATCTGACATAATTTTTCGGGAATTCGCAGGAAACCAGAGGCGTAGTTTTTTTTTAAATTTTTTTCCCATGTGATTTTTTCCGGGTTTTCCGAAAACATCTAACAAAATAAATATATTTGAAAAACTAACTTCGCCATCGAAAAGAGCACAAAAAAATACACAAAAAGGTATACTTTAAAAATGTTAGGAAATTAATCCTCAGCCTGAGTGTAAGTTCCAACTTGGTGATAAGCTTGCTTTTTGTTCGCTAATATCTGGTAATTCTATATTTTGCACAAAACTCAAGAAACGTCTTATAACAAGTCAGTAAAATACAATTTAATAAATTTTAAGCCTAATAAATTTAGATGTGCAAGAAATTTAAAACTGGAAATCGCAAAAAAATCAAATTACAGTAATGTAGTGTATACACGAGTTTTGGATCTCGCAGAGCGCGTGTAATGGGACTTTTGTCGGGAGAATTCTACACCTTAGAAGAAACATTAAACACTTTAAACTTTGTATACACATTTAGAAGACATGAAATTTAGGTTTGTTTAATTTTCAGACAAAAAACTAAAAATTGTCAATTTTAGGCAACTTTTCTCAAAAACCGTGTTTTTTGGTCGTCACTCAATGAACAGTGGTCAAAAAAATAGATAAAATATATTTGCAGAATTTTCCGTAATGTAATCGTATTCTAGACACAATAGAGTACTCAAAAAAAGTTTTGAGCCATTGGGTGCATTTTTGGCATTTTTGTGCCACTTCAAACTTTCGAAAAAAAAAATTATTTTTTTTTTTTTTTGGAAAAAAAAATTATTTAATTGTTTGATATCTTAGCCAATTATGGTTTGATGTCGGTGAAATTCACACACACATAAGATTTCACATTTAAGAGTAAGCTTTGTAAGTGCCATTAAAAAAATTCAAATAGTTTGGCCGTTATAGGAAAACAATGAAATTATGACCGCGGTGCATTTTGCCCTTCCGCCATATGCCCAATTTTGGGATTTCTCTTGCCCCCTTCTGGGAATCACTAGTCACATCCTTTAAGTTCAAAACGCATTTTTGTTTTTTCAAATATCTTAATTTTTACCAATGTTATAAAGAATTTAGTGTTTGAACATATAACAAATTCAATTTTTCGACCTTCGTCGCCTCAAAATACTAAACAAATTTCAATCGTCCATACCGCGAGAACGGTGCATCGGATCAAAATTTCTCAAGATACATAAAAATTAGCATTTTTCCTAAGCTTTCAAATTTCGTAAACTGCGTTTTAAAAATATTGATTTATTTCCGACATGCGCCTACGCAAAATTGAAAAATTGACAAAATCCAAAATTTCGGCACTTTTGAAAAACTGCTACATTTTGTTTTGCCTTTTTTATTTATTTTCTATATTCAAATTTATACGAATATAAAGTTAAAATTATATTAACATTTTAGCAGTACGTTTTAGAGCAGGAGCAGTTTTAAAAGGTCCATCCAGAAATAAATGAAATGTGATTTATTTACAAGAGTATAAAATTGTCAAGTGTTTGAAAAATTAACATTCTGGTTTCTGTTTGAACCGAAATCAATTATAATGATCTGAAATATTATTTTCACCTCGTCAACCTGCGTTTTGCATCTTCAGTTGCCTTTGAAAGAGCAATTGTGTGATACTTTTCTGCAATGCTTTTACTGTTTCTTTTTTTTCCTATTTTTCTTCTGCTTCTTAATTTTTATATTCTAACTTAGTAGCTGCATTTTATTTTGAACTCAAACGATAGAGTACACCACAATTTGCCATTTTTGTTTTGTTTTATGCAAGTGCATATAATTTTAAAAAATTACCTTTGTTTATACTACGTAATAGTCAAAAATATTTAACCAGATAAACCTATTTCTTTTATATGGAGATTTTGTTGGGGTTTATTTACCAAGATAATTTTTGTCTGTCTTATACCATTTTTTTTTCATTTACTTCAAGTTTTTCTTCTTATCTTCTGCTGATAAATCATTATTATTACATTCTCTAGTTGCGCTGCTCTCCAAATTGGTCGCTAACACATATTCAAATATTTGATAACAAACAACTTCAAACTTTTGACAGTAACGGTTTATTTGTTTTTATACTAATATTTCCATTTATTAGGTTAAATGTTTATTTCATAATAGCTGCATGAAATGCGATATATAATTAAATTTATACATTACCACCATTTGTAATTATTGTTTTATGTTAATTATTCATTTTTAATGTAAAACGATTTTACTAAAAGATAATAAAATATTAAAATTTTTTCCACTTTGAATGGTGAGGCAATTTTCACATTGATATATTTTAATTATTAAATTGTTTCTCATACTGTTTATAATCCTTTTAAATTTCTTCATATTTAAAAATTTTAATTTACCTATAAGAGCTAAAAACAGATTTGAGTAGCACAAATTATTTATTATTTTACAGCTATTTTATGTTACTATGATCGATTTAAATTAAATCATTTACTACCTATTTTTGAATGAAATTTATTATGATATAATTATATGCGCCTTTGCTTTAAAGGGTCTACTAAGTTTCATGGAAATTAATATCTTATCTACTTAAATTTTATTGTCAATAAATTATTTTTTTTACTTATAATTAAATTAATTTCTTGATTAAAAAAGTAAAATATAAATTATTTATTTGTTCACTTGTAACCACATGGCCATGATGCACATATTTTACCAAACATTTTTAGCAGAAGCTGTTTCATATAAGAATGAAGCCTTAAACAAATAACCCTTAGTCACATTCAAACAATATATAACCATTATGTAATGCTGAGAGCTAGAATATGAACTTAACCTCGTATTATCTAGGTCCTGTCCTATAATACGATATCTTATATCTTTCGTGTGTTAAGACCATCTCATGTTCCTTTCATAACAGACTTTCTCATATTTTGTCATTTCTAGGGGATCAGCATTGTAAATCCTCAAATGTCAGACGATGTCAGTTATCATTATGGGACCCTTTTTTTTCGTGATTCTGCAACAGTGTTTCAACACATAGAACTCAGGGACGGAACACTTTAACACATAGAACTCAGGGACGGAACACTTTAATGCAGGAAATATCTTTGGATGGATAATTAATTATAACGAAATTTTTTTTTACATTTACTCATTTCCTGTTAAATAAAGTTGACTAAATTCTCTATTAAAAACATTTTAAGCATGTCTGCCCAAAGAGTAACAGTTTCCGAGTAGAAAAAGAAAAAGAAAAAGAAAAAGAAAAAGAAAAAGAAAAAGAAAAAGAAAAAGAAAAAGAAAAAGAAAAAGAAAAAGAAAAAGAAAAAGAAAAAGAAAAAGAAAAAGAAAAAGAAAAAGAAAAAGAAAAAGAAAAAGAAAAAGAAAAAGAAAAAGAAAAAGAAAAAGAAAAAGAAAAAGAAAAAGAAAAAGAAAAAGAAAAAGAAAAAGAAAAAGAAAAAGAAAAAGAAAAAGAAAAAGAAAAAGAAAAAGAAAAAGAAAAAGAAAAAGAAAAAGAAAAAGAAAAAGAAAAAGAAAAAGAAAAAGAAAAAGAAAAAGAAAAAGAAAAAGAAAAAGAAAAAGAAAAAGAAAAAGAAAAAGAAAAAGAAAAAGAAAAAGAAAAAGAAAAAGAAAAAGAAAAAGAAAAAGAAAAAGAAAAAGAAAAAGAAAAAGAAAAAGAAAAAGAAAAAGAAAAAGAAAAAGAAAAAGAAAAAGAAAAAGAAAAAGAAAAAGAAAAAGAAAAAGAAAAAGAAAAAGAAAAAGAAAAAGAAAAAGAAAAAGAAAAAGAAAAAGAAAAAGAAAAAGAAAAAGAAAAAGAAAAAGAAAAAGAAAAAGAAAAAGAAAAAGAAAAAGAAAAAGAAAAAGAAAAAGAAAAAGAAAAAGAAAAAGAAAAAGAAAAAGAAAAAGAAAAAGAAAAAGAAAAAGAAAAAGAAAAAGAAAAAGAAAAAGAAAAAGAAAAAGAAAAAGAAAAAGAAAAAGAAAAAGAAAAAGAAAAAGAAAAAGAAAAAGAAAAAGAAAAAGAAAAAGAAAAAGAAAAAGAAAAAGAAAAAGAAAAAGAAAAAGAAAAAGAAAAAGAAAAAGAAAAAGAAAAAGAAAAAGAAAAAGAAAAAGAAAAAGAAAAAGAAAAAGAAAAAGAAAAAGAAAAAGAAAAAGAAAAAGAAAAAGAAAAAGAAAAAGAAAAAGAAAAAGAAAAAGAAAAAGAAAAAGAAAAAGAAAAAGAAAAAGAAAAAGAAAAAGAAAAAGAAAAAGAAAAAGAAAAAGAAAAAGAAAAAGAAAAAGAAAAAGAAAAAGAAAAAGAAAAAGAAAAAGAAAAAGAAAAAGAAAAAGAAAAAGAAAAAGAAAAAGAAAAAGAAAAAGAAAAAGAAAAAGAAAAAGAAAAAGAAAAAGAAAAAGAAAAAGAAAAAGAAAAAGAAAAAGAAAGCCTGAGAAGATTACTTTCATATTGTAAAAATCAACTTTCTACAGCACTGGTTGTTGATAACTCTAAAAACTGACCAGTTGATTTC